CTTCATGTCCAGGGGGTCTAGGGAAGGTTTTTTCAGAAGCGGCCTAATTGATTTCCATTCATACTTATTTTCTTTGTCATGTTTGTTTTGTTATCATTTCTTTTTTTTAATGGCCTGTGAATGAAAAATAAAATAGTGAGGAAGGAAGGTGAGCTCTAACAACCATAAAATGCAAGTTCTCATTTTGAAAAAGGATCACAGTTCAGGGGTTACTTTAAAAACAGAACATATTATGTTCAATATTTATTTTATGCAGATGTCACACAAATTATGCTTCTATTTTTAAAATTTTATCAAGAACATATGAAAGAACATTTGATTGCAAGGGACAATGGGATGTTTTTCAATAGTTTATTTGTCTGACATCTGCTTAATATTCAGTGGGTATGGAGCTTCCAAAGCTCAACTTCTAGCATTGCTGCCAAGGCAAGATCTGAAATTCCTGCCTATTTTCAACAGCTAATTTAAAACATTTTGATGCATTTTCCCCTAGTTCTTTAGCAGCAGCACAGGAAGATGTGAAGCTTTTAAAAGTGATAGACTAGCAGAATATGACAAGTTAGAAAATCAGATCCCTATGTAATTATCTGCCAGATTCTCTGCTTGAAGTAATAAGGGCAGCCCTAATTTATACCATCAGGATATTTTGGTTTCCAGTGTATAAATTCTTGTGTGGATGTGAACTGAGTGCTACTAGAGCATTGATGCCAAGTGGTCACATGCCATCTGGTACATCCTCATATTACAATCCTTTCTACCATCAACAAATTATGTTGAACTTTCTTCCAGCTACATTGGAATGAGAAAGGGAAGGGGTCTCCTATAAGCACTGTTTAGCACCTAACGTGCTTTTTCTTACTTTGAATTTCCTTCCAGGTAATGCTGTTTCCAGTCTTTTTTATAAAGGTATATTGGAAATCTAAAGCAAAGAGCACAAAAGGAAGATGGAGAAAATGGCATCTTACAGTGAAAATAAACATTTTCTTTAAATAATTTTGAAAACCCCAAGATTTGTTGGTGAGCCAACAAAATTCACAGAGGAGCACATAATGTTGTTGCCTGAGGCTGTTATAATAGCTACTTACAAAGATGACTTTTAAACAATAATATGGCAGAATCTGACACTGAGAATTTGAGACAATGTCTAGAATCCTTTTGGTGATGAAAACTTATATGACCTCCCTTTACAGAAGTTTAGGAACTTTTTCAGTGGTTGTGAAGAAAACTATCCATGCTCAATAATCTCTGCACAACCCCATCTTGAGGCTGCAAGGGTACATCACCATAGTGAATCAGTATCCAGAGGCTGTGGGATTGCTGGGTACCATCCAGCTGTAGATTCACAGCAAGAAATAAGGAAGAGCTATCACCGTTCATGTCCTCCAGCATACTCAGCAGCAGCAGACACAATGCAGAAGCATGCTGCTCCTCCTGAATTTAAACAGGATCTTGGCCATTGGCTTCATAGAATCTCCATATTCCAGGATCCATTTCAGTTCTGATGTAAATTGCCATTTGGTTCTAAGAACTGTAGGTCCTAAAATTGTCTTCCCTATTTCCCCCTTTCCTTTCCCAAATGTAGCCCCTGAAAGCTTTATGAGGACTCTTAAGATCATTGTGGATCAGACCAGAACAAAATGGTGTCTGAAATATGCTGTGGACTTCACTTCTTGGCCACTGCTGTTCCTCATCATTCAACTAGCTTGTGCTTTCAAAATCTCAGAAATTTCAGAATGGTTTATCATTACTTATAATTGGTATCGTCTGGAAGAGAAATAGTAATTTCAGCATGACACTCATTTTAATGGTAGAAATTCTTCCCAGAAGAGAAAAGTTCAAATTTGACCAGTTTTGTAAGTCTTTTTAAATCTGTATCCATACTTTCCCATAGTTGTTTTTAAACAAATCTGATTTTTTTATTGTAATACCTATTCCAAGATATTTGGTTTTTTCTCTCATTTAAACTCAGACATTTTATTAATTCTTCTTTTTCTTTCTTTGGTATGTTCATTGCAAATATTGTCATTTTTTCCTTGTTTATTCTAAATCCTGTGTATTGTCCATATTTAATTATTTCCAGTAAAGGATGAATACTCTTATTTGGATTGGATAATGAAAAAAACAATGTCATCTGTGTATGCTCTTAATTTGTACTCAGAGTTCTTAATTCTTACATTCATAAATTTCTGCTCCCCTCTTATTCTATTGTTCAATATTTCTAATGTAATTATAAACAGTAAGGGAGATAGAGGATAGCCTTGTCGGGTTCCCTTCTGAATCTGACAGATCTCAAACTGGTGGATTGCATCAAAACATTGGTCATACAACCTGAAACTATGATAAATTATAATAATGCATTCAGAATTTCTCCAAAATGAACTTGTGCAATATTCAAAAATATGTCATATGCAAAAAGATTTATTTTAAAATGAAATAACTTCATATTAATGTTTGTATTTTTAAGCATGTAAGGATATGTTCCACCAAAGGTTCTATTGGTAAGCCAAAAATTATTGATGATAGTCATGAGCCCTGTCAAGTGCCTTGATTAAGTTGGAATATTTCTGTTTTATTATCATTAATAAAGATTATTACAAGAGGATTATAAAACAGTCTAACTCATCCTATATATATAATCTTTAATCCAAATGCTGATAATACTTGGTAAAGATCACCCCATTCAACTCTATCCAAAACCTTTTTGGCATAAAAAAATAATAACCCATATGGCTGTTCCCTTAATTTTCTAAATCAGACCTATAATTTGGTTAATATTCATTGAAAGACTCCTCTTTGTTATTAATCCTGATTGAACAACTTTACTATGATTTTAAGATCATTCACCTTGTTGACATGTATTTTATTCTGTTTTAAAATTGTTCATTTAACAATGTGTTTGGTCTATATGACTCCGGTCTTGTAAGATCTTTCCTGTATAAAGTAATTTTATCATCTTACCATGTTTTTTGGAAAATTGGGAGATTGTATAATTTCATTAAATATATTCACTAATCGCAGAGCTAATAAATTGAGAAGGAGGGGTTTGAAATACTTTCCAGACAGATCATCAGGATGAGGTACTTTAGTACATTTGGTTTGCAATTACTCGTATTACCTCTTCTATTGATATTGGCCTCCCTAATATATCCTGTTTTTCTACAATAAAATGAAGTAGGTTTATCTTTTCCAGAAAACCTTTAACTATTCCAACTGAAAGACTTTCAAACCTATGTAAATATTTATGATATTTCCTACATAAATTAGTTATATAATCAGCTTGACTTGCCACCACACTCTCCTTCTCTATTTTAATAATGTTATTTGCTTTTGTTTTTAGGCCTGACTCCCAATAGTTTGCCAGACTTAGTACTCTTTGTTTTAAAAAAATAACGTTGCTTCAAAAAAGTTAATGATTTCTCAACTTGGTCACAGTTTATATTATTAAACCTTTTCCTTATTGTTTCTAATTTTTCTATAACTTGCAGAAGAACATGTTGCTGGAGAATATTTTTTTTTTTAGGCCTTTTCCCCACTTCTTCTATTTGAATGTTCAGTTTTTATTATTGTTCTTTTCTTGACTTTTACACTGAGACTATTTTCCCTCTTTTCCCAGTAATAGATTGTTATTTTGATTATTAGTAGATTATTTCCTAGTAATAGATTCTAACCAGAGGCTTCTAACCCAAACTGTTAAATTCACTAATGAGTGTTACCATGAAAATATTCCTGCAGTTCCTTTTACAAAATTTCAGCCATTACATCATTATAGAATAAGTATATTGATAGAACCTATAATATAGAGTCAGTGTGGTGCTGTGGTTTGAATGTTGGTCTATAGCTCTGAAGACCAGTGTTCAAATCCCTGCTCAGCCATGGAAACTCACTGAGTGACCTTAGGCAAGCCATGCTCTCTCAGCCTCAGAGGAAGGCAAGGGAAAACTCTGAACAAATTCTGGTAAGAAAACCCTGTGATAGGGTTGCCTTAGGCTAACCATAAGTTGAAAATGACTTGAAGGCACACTACAACAACAACATTATCTGGCCTCCAAGATTTCATCCCTAAATTCCATATTCTAACCCAGGGGTAGGCAACGTTTCCCCTTTAAGGGCCGAGGGACTTCAGCTCCCAGAATCCCAGGAGCTATTGGCCAACATAGGACTATTGGCCAACATGACTGAGGCTTCTGGGAGCTGAAGTCCCTCAGCCCTTCAAGGGGAAAGGTTGCCTACCCCTGTTCTAACCAAATAGGAGCATGATCTGCACAAATAAGTATGTTTGTTTCCACTTTCTTCACCTTCCTTATTATTAAATGTGATGTCAAAAACAAATCTATTGTAGGAAAAGTTTTATTTGGGGATGAGAAAAAGGTATAATCCTTTCTTTTATGGTGAAGGCAATGCCAAGTTTCTATTTAGAAACATGGTGCAATATTTTCCCAAACCTTAATGACATGCAATTAATCTTTTGGTTCTCTTAGATTTTGTGCCTCACTTTTAATTATAATTTCTGCTCCAGGTTCATTGCAAAGTTTAAAGGAGCTATTGCAGGAATTGAATCTCTTTAGGGGATAGTGTTCTGTGCCGTGTTGAAGGATAGTGCCTTCAAAGTTCACACCAGAACAGGGTGACCAGGACATCCTCTTTTTCCAGGCAATGTCCTACATTTCAACCTTCTGTCAAGGAGGAATTCCAGAATGTCTTCCATTTTGACAATGACTAAGAAGCACATTGCATTTGCTGTTCCCCTTTGAGAAATTGGTCTACTTGGCCCCCTGTCCTCATTAAAAACCGGGGGATAGGATGGATACTTCTAAAGTTCTTTTTTCTTAGAAGCAGCAGCAGACAAGACTTGACCCCAGACCTCAGGGCATATTTGGTTTTTGGAGGGGAAAAGGACAGCAAACATGTTAGGCAATGGGTTGCTTGAAGACACAGTGCAAATGTTGAGAGAGTTTTTCCTTAATATCAGTGCAATAGAAAATGAAAGGAATAATTCAACTATAGATTCAATCAAAGATTTGTTGGTAATACAGCATTTGTCTTGCTCAGAGTTCTATAAGTGTCTTGCAAGCCAACAAGACATTTTAATGGAGATAAGTTCATCAGAAAAATATGGTTGAGTACATAATAAAATGCAGTATATGTTACATAGCTGTAAACAAACCATATGAAATGAATTTATATTTAGCTTTTATTTTTTAATGTGCTGCTAAAGGGAGGGTGGCATCACTACTTCTCAAACATCTACCTTCTGGAAGAAAGAGGCTGTGGCATTCATCTGCTTCTCTTTAAAATGCCTTAAGAGATGGTGGGAGTGGAGTGAAGCTCAGTTGGAGAAGAAAGGAGGGGCTCCAGAATTTTTTAAAATTAAAATTTCAAATTTCAAAAATTTATTTTAAAAAATAAAAAAAGAAAATTATTTTTAAATTTTCTTTGAAAACATCATATTTTAACCAAATCGTCACAATCTATATGTAAATACATTTAGCTTGTGCATATAATGTAATAATTTTAATTTTGCTAGATGCCTATATCACAACTATTAGCAGTACATTCAGTGATGTATGGGAATTACGATTTACAAGTAACATTAGTGCAAAAAAGCATTACTAAAGATTCTGTGTAGTATGAAATGGGAGGAGGTCAATGGGGGGTGACACCATGAGTTCCCACACTGGGTGACACCAACACTAGAGATGTCCCTGGCATTATGCTGTGCCTTTTCCTCATTTGTGGTTATGACAACTGGTTATCCAGGATTAAAAACAGAAGCAGAATCGCCACTCCACTGACAGAGAACCCAGCAACAACTGCTGGTAGGGAAGGAAGCCTGTGAGGCCAATTCTTTGCTACAATGATTGCAAATGTTTTAAAGTTTAATAATATTTCCAACAACATCAAAATCCACCAAACATTGATACCTTTATTGGACCAACCAAAATTCACCATATACACGTTGCACGCTTTCAAACTTCATTGAGTTCTTCATCAGGCAAGGTGTTAAAGACAATAGGAAGAAAATTATTTCTTTTGAGATGTGATGCTGGAGAAGAGTGTTGAGGATCCCGTGGACAGCCAAAAAGACAAACAAATGGGTCCTAGAGCACATCAAGTTGGAAACTTCCTTGGAAGCCAAGATTACCAAATTGAGACTACTGTACTTCAGACACATCATGAGAAGGGAGGACTCTTTGGAATAAACAATAATGCTGGTAAAGGTGGATGAAAGTAGGAAGAGAGGAAGGCCACATGCCAGATGGATGGACACTATTAGGCAGATCACAGGTATTAAGGGGCTGCAGGATTTAAGCAGAGCAATAGAGGACAGAGTGTCTTGGAGATGTCTCATCCATAAGGTCACCATGAGTTCAGATAGACTTGAGGGCAGTTAACAACAACAAACAAACCATCTAAACTGAGAACAAAAACACCAAAATGCAGATCTATGACTAACATCTTCAAAAAAAAACTTCTCCTGTATGGTTTTTGACCTTCGCTTGATGAAGAAGCCAGTGGAGCTTTGAAAGCTTGCAGCATGTATATTGTGCATTTTGGTTGGTTCAAAAAAGGTATCACTGTTTGGTGGATTTTTGATATTATTGGATTTGCTATATGGCCAACATGGCTACCCCTGGATGTATTAATAGTATTTGCAATAGCGGGGGGGGGGGGAGTAAAGTTTCTTGTAGCAAATAAGATCAATCTTTCAACAGTATTTATTGCCACCATATTAAAGCGGTGCCACCACATATATTTTCAGGGGCCACTTCAGTCACCTCCAACTGTTTTCGTCATTAAATAATTCATCGCCCTATATTTGTTCTTTCAAAGAAAGTTAAGTCTGACAATTCTAAAGTAATGAAAATAATTCTTATTATTTCTGTTGAGTGTAAACTATCAATGCCTGAGAGGATAAATGTTATACCCCATTCTTATTAGTAAAAAATTATATTATTTCCCTCCCAAAAATATCCCAACAACATATGTGTCCATTAAAATCATTTTTCAAAAGTAATAAATCCAGAGGTTACAATATCAGAAACAAAATCTTCTGAAATCATAACACTCCCCTGTTAGTGCTTTCTTCTTCCTAGTTTCAAATGAGACCTAAATCCAGCATAGCTGTGGTGCGTTTATATTCTCTTTTCTGTATGGGGAAAATACAAAGCTTGATAGTTCACTTCCTATGTGTAAGCACACACAAAAAGAAGGAGGGGAACAATTAAATGTTCTGCTTTTGTTCTGCTCATGTGTTGTGTTTTTTGAGCTCCTAATGTATATACTTCTGAAACAGTACTATGTGCATGGATTTTGATCTCAGCTGTGTTCTCAAGCCAAACTCATCACTTAAAGTGGTCCAATCAATCAGCCCTTCCTGGCAGACCAATACAGTTAACCACTGGAAAATCAAACATTCTAGGGATTAAAATGTATTCACCACTCTAAAACAGTATCATAGATGCCAACAATGCATAGAAAAACTGGCATTCAGCTGAAAGAATTACGAGGAGTTTCATACTGACCAACAAGAAGGCTCTGTTCATATGAATACATCTTTCTTAAAATAAAATGGGGAGGAGATTCAATCTTCATGCAGTCTTCAGTTATCATACAAAAAGCAGGCTTAAACTTCAAAAAAGGAGGGGTAAAGATAGAAGGAAGGAATAGCAACAATCTAAGATACATGGATGACACCATACTGCTAGCAGAAAACATCACATACTTGGAACAATTATTAAGTGAGACCAAAGAAGAAAGTACAAGGGCAGGCTTAATGCTGAACATAAAGAAAACAAAAATAATGACCATGGAGGACCTACATGTATTCAGTCTAGACAATGAAGTTGGGTTCCTTCAGGGAGAAAGATGGCATAAAAATGAAGTAAATAAAGAAAAAAATCAAAATAGTTAAAAGGTTCCCATTTCTTGAATCAAACATCAATCAGGAAGGAGATTACGGTCAAGAAATCAGAAGAACACTAGGAATGGGAAAGGCAGCTATGAAAAAACCAGAAAAGATCCTAAAGAGTAAAGATATACAACTGAGCACTAAAATCAGAATCATACAAGCCATTGTATTCTCCATTACCATCTATGGATGCAAGAGCTAGACAGTGAAGAAAGCTGATCAGAAGGCAATTAATTCATTTGAGTGGTAGAGAAGAGTGCTGAGGGTACCATGGACAACCAAAAAGACAAACAGATGGGTTCTTGAACAGATCAAACCTGAAATACCCCTAGAAGCCAAGATGATCAAACTGAAGCTGTTGTACTTTTGCCACATCATGAGAACACATGATACATTAGAAAAGACAATAATGATGGAAAAAAGGCTCAATGTAGTATGTAGAAAGAGAGGAAGATGGCATGACAAATGGATAGACTTAATCATGGAGGTTACAGATCTGAATCTATAAGACCAGAGCAGTGGAGCATAGGGGGGCTTGGAGATGTCTCATCCATAGGGTCACCATGAGTTGAGGTTGATGCAAAGGCAGTTAACAGCAACTAATGTAAATGGGTAATAAGATTAGTGAAAGAGCACATTAGTGAAACAACACTTATATCAGTTTCATTGATGGAAACAAAGATTAGATTTTGTCTTGAAGAGTAAAGTTATGAGGGGAGGTTATTATATAGAAGTGTAAAGTTATAAGGAGCTTCAAAAGTCCAGGTCTTTCTTCAATGCAGATAGCTCCCAAAATGATGATTTGCCGATATAGGTGTAAATAGCTTTTTTGCCATCTACACATACAAAACTACCTCTGGGTGTTCCTTGTCTAAGGCTGCATCTGCAATGCAGAAATATTGCATTTTGACACCACTTTAACTGCCATGGCTCGTTGCTATGGAATCCTGGCATTTGTAGCTCA